TNCCCCAAATGGAATAAGTGAAGTTGACAAGGAACCAATCCAACCTGATATACTACAGTCTAGTTCCAAATGGAAAGCTTCAGTTGATCAAAAAAGACAGGAGGAGTTGGCTCAAAGAAATAAAAATATCCCAGCTCAGAAAAATATAAAAAACCAACAGATAGACCCCAATGAAAATGATGTAAAAATTGTTGACCAATCATATCTTACAAAAGACTTCAAAGCCAAAGAAAAATCAGCACAAAGGATGATTGATAAAGTTGTAAAAAAATATTCCCTTAACAGAGAGCAAGAAAGAGCCTTTAGAATTGTTGCAAATCATGCAGTTCAACCTCAGACTGAACAATTAAAAATGTATCTGGGTGGCATGGGTGGTACTGGAAAATCACAAGTCTTCAAAGCCCTCATTTATTTTTTTCAACAGAGAAATGAGTCTCATATATTTATTGTGCTTGGACCAACAGGATCATCAGCTGCTCTTCTGAATGGATCAACTTATCATTCATTTTTGGGTGTGCCAATGAGTGGAATGGGTATCAGAAATGAGGCTACAAGCATTGCTCAAGTCAGAGCTAGACTAGATGGAGTTGACTATATATTCTTAGATGAGGTATCAATGCTCTCATGCCATGACATGTATAAAATTGCTTCACAGTTAGCCAAAGCACTCAATAATTTTGATAAGCCATATGGTGGAATTAATATGATATTTGCTGGTGATTTTGCCCAACTTCCCCCTGTTGGTGGTCAATCTCTATACAGTCACTCAGTTGGAACACAAGTCCATTCAGGCTTAAAGCCAGGTGGCCAAGAAGCTGCTGTAGGAAAAGCTCTCTGGCATCAGGTTACAACTGTAGTCATACTTAGAGAGAATATGAGGCAGAAAACTCAGACTCCCCAAGATGCATCACTGAGAAAAGCATTGGTGAATATGAGATATGGAAATTGTACTGCTGAGGACATTAAATTTTTGAGAACTCTTCAAGCCAGTAAAAAGCCAGGAAGACCTAACATTGCTTCAAAGGAATTCAGAAATGTGGCAATTATATGTGGAAGACACACACAAAAAGATCAAATTAATCAAATGGGGTGTGAAAGATTTGCTGAGGAGACAGGCCAAAAATTGACCCATTTTTACTCTGTAGATAAGTGGGGAAAGGATGCTGATCCAGCTAATAAAACAAAGTGGGGAAAATCAAAGGCTGCTTCAAAATCAAAGCACAAGTCAAATGAAATGA